GCTTTTTGTCAGAGTTTTGGGAAACACTAGCGATACTGATACAGCTAGCAAGTTAACTCAAAGGGAACAAAGCATCTATCATTTAAAACAGCTCTTGGTTGGAAGGGAAATAAAACATTTCCTGTATGTTCAGCTGAAACCGAGGTGCCAAGATGCAGTAGTAGATAATGGAACATAACTTAAAAACATACATTGCTGCTTTACCATCGAGACATACACCTCCCTTTACCACTGCAAAAAACATCAGAGGCAGGAGGGAATGGGGGCAGGAGGAAACTGGAACGTGATGAGAGCCAGAGTAGGAAACAGGACCCAGCATCTCTGAGACCACCCAGCATCAAGATACTGGGTGGGGTGGGGAAAGGATTTGTAACATCCAGAAGGGATGTTGCCAGGCCAATAAAAGTCACCACTCATTGTGGCAAAAAGCATTGTCTCCCTTTGTCAGAGAACAGCCTAAAAGGCATTTGACCTTTTGGAGGGTGGAGAGTGAGACTGGGCAGTAAAGTCCCAGGGGTCTGGGCAAGGACTCCTACAAGACTCCCTACAGATGCCCAGTGTGTTGCCATGTTTCCAGGAAAGCTGATTCCTTGGCCAGAGGAATTTTTAGTTTTTATCTTTTCTCAAATAATTAAAGACCATAAACAGTGGGATGTTATACAATAAAAAGATCCTTACCTTGGGTTACGTGCAGGGTGCAGCCTTGGAAATCAGTTGAACTTTTAAGAAGAGCTATTCAGATTCTTCAACTTTTCATTCATGCATAAAGCCTTTTGTGCTTCCTCCTTCAAAACTTTGTCTAGACAGCTCACAACCAGATGTCAATATCTTAATAGATAAGGATGAAGGAGAGAGTGAATCTGTTTCTAAAAATATTTTTCGACACTATTTCATCAACTGATGATAATCAAAGTTAACTGCAATGCCCTCAAACTCTTCTAACTCTCATTTTAAGTTAAAGCCTGAACACTCAACTCATCCACATGCACAAGGGAACAGCAGCAGAACTGGTTCTAGCTGGTAACCAGTTGGGATTAAGTTTGATATACCTCTCGCAGCCCCAAACCTTTAAATAGCCCCAGTCTACTGTAGACAAATGTGGCCAGACATGAAACAGTGAGGTGTTTCCTTAAAGACAACAAGGTGCACTTCTTTTTCCTCTTTGCATTCCAGTTAATGTTCTGAGACTGGCCAAACCAAATCTGCCTAGATTTATAAAAATACACTTTTACAAGAATTAACAGCAACTTAAAATTCACCACAATCCTCCATCCTCTAAATACTCTGTGTCAAAGTGCTGCTGAGTGAGTGAGTACTGCTGTCGGTGTTACCCTACAAGAAAGAACGTGGCTATTTCGTGCAGTGTATATATTGTCTATGCTTAAAGCAGTCACCGCTCGTGTATGATGTTTCAGCTGAAGCAAGTGTTGCTCTGCCAGCAAACTCTGGCAATGAAGGCTTTTTTCATACACTGAACCTCCCCTTGCCTACATCTCCAGGAGGAAGCACTCCAGCTAGTTGTAAAATGGAAATTCGCTGTAACTGGGACTGATGTGCAAATGCTGTTCTCTTTGAAGGAGGGTGCTGCTGCCTGAGTTAACTCTCCTGAAATTATTTAACAGGTCACACCATTTCAGACAGAAGGGTTTGTAGTGCAAATGGGAAAATACTGTGCTGGAATGGCAACCAGACTGCACTACATGCCAACAAGGGTTAGTTAACGCCTAACTGGAAAGCAATGGGACAGTGACAAAACACTCCAGTAAGAACAGAAGCTAGAGGGGAGAAAAGCCTCAACTCTTCTCATAGTGATGCCAGAGGTCACTTAAAATTCACACTTGTCTGTATTGCTGTAAGTTGGCAGTGTCCCCATAAAGTACGTCCAGTTCATTCTTTGAAACGCGTGTTTGTTGGGAAGTTGTAATGTCCAAAGAAACAGAGACATGCACAGCTCCCTCCTACCCTTCATGGTCACACTACAGTGCAATCCTCTAAAATAAACACGACCATTTCCTATGGAATACAAAAAATACTTTTGGTCAAGATTAAGGATCTAAAAGCTTAAGAATAAGCAGTGAAAGCCATGCTGATGGGGGAAAAATAGCTTATTTCATATTAAAATCTTGAATGAATTCTTCAGCTTTTTCCCAGAACTCTTTAGAAAAAATGCTTTCATTTTGGCAACGAAAACAAATCTGTATTAAAACTGAAATTGCTTTTTCTGATTTTAATTTCTTTCTTCCATAATTTGTACCATAAACCAAAACCAAAATTACTTAAATCAGGTTAAAATTGTTAAGGAATAAAAGAAAAAGGTCACAAGACAAAACACGTGGAATATGATAGGTTTGCAGCTCAAAGCCATTTTTTGAAGATCAAGTTAATCTGGCTATTAATACTGTTCTTTAGGAAGCCACTGAAATCTTGACATTAGAAAAGCTGAGTTTGCAGACTCTTCAGCAAAAACAATGTCCGGGAAAGGACTTGCACTGAAAAGGGTTACTGTGATCACTGAGGAAGACTTGCTGCCTCTTAAGGAATCACACAGAAATTACAACTGCTTGTGCTTCCAAGTCACACACCAGTTTTGTATATATTTAACTTAAAAACCAGTTACCTACAACTTGCAGATTTGATGGCAATAAGGAAGATACAGATATAGAGAAAGTACAGATCTAGGAACAGAATTTTATTTGAGTTGGAAAATATCATGCAACAAATCTTATTTTTTTAATCATCCTTGCCCAGCTTTCAGTTGACAAAGTAAAATTTACAAGTAGAAGTATGTGTAAGGTTAGCACCACAGGAAGAATAGACTTCTCTTTACAACTCCATCTGATAGAAGGTTATAAAAGAAAACAGAGAAAAAGAAAAAAAGCTAACTGATCTTGTCCCCCCCCGCCCCCCAACATGCTTAGATACTTAAATCTAAACATCGAGATACCATGACTCTCCTAGCATAGCTGAATAATTCACGTTCAGCAAGAGTCGCTCTGTACATTAAGAAATCCGTTAAGTGCCAAATGGGAACTATCACAAAGTACCAGCTGATACGCAAGGCAAAAATTGTAAAGGTCCAGAAAAAGAAATGAAACAACAGAAATCAGACTGAGGAATTTGCCTCTTTTCCGGTGTTATGCTAGTATGGCTACTGTGACCTGCTGCAAACACCAACAAAATAAGAGATGTGTACTGGGTCTGCCTGGGTTGGGTCAAATATCTTACTATTATCCTGTAATCCCCTAATGTCATGGGCCAAATATCCAGATACGCTTAATTCAAACTCTCCTATTTCCTACGTGCAAGCTACTACAGGATTACATCAGACTTCAAATGTTTATTTTCCTTACTTTTGTAATAATTTTAAAAATTTACTCCTTGTGGGTCTTACTATAAGGTTTTGAAGATACTGAACAGTTTTACAAACCCTCCAATCTTTATCAAGCAGCAGTTCTAATACAGGATTTAGGAGCTTTAAATACCATGTTATAATGTGCTGTCTTCTTAAGGCAATGGAATAATTACTTCAAAGTATCCTAATTTTACATTATAAACTGATACCTCGAGTTCCTTTGTAAGCATCTCTAATTAGAACACAAGTAAAATTATTTAAATGACCTGACTCAATTATTAACAGAAGGATTCAAACTAAGATCACAAGGAAGAGGCAACTTTTGGTCACAGTTTGGAAACTACGTCTTTTGATTACTCCCACCTTTCAAGGTCACATGCATGGACTTTCAACAGCAACACTAAGCAACCAGTTAAAACAATTGTTTTGTATCCAAATCACAGCAAAATCATTTACTTTAATCCCAAAGCAAAATGTGGTGTAACCCGAAACAGCTGGGTTTTTTCAGACTGATGAGAGACCACCATTAACAGCAGAATATCGATTGCAGTAAATGCCATTTTAATGTGGAGAGCCAGCATTAACGTTGAACTGCGCAGAGGAGCCTTCACAGCCATGAGCACTACATCATTTTACCACCAGGAGAGTAATGAGACTCTGAACTTTTCTTTATCTTTCCTTTATTTATGCTCGGACTTCCAGCACTGCACATCAGATACCCAGGGTCTTAATCTGTCCTATATCAGACTGCAAAAATACAATGCTTTCCCAACTGTCCTTGCATCAACAAATCAAACAGTCACGTCCAACAAACCCTTCACTTGAGCAGTTACTTCTAACTAAAAATGCATCTCTCCTCTTCAGGATTTCAACTAATGCTTCTGGCTTATAAAAGATTAAGTGCAATCAGTTACACTGAAGGTTTATAATGCAGCTCTTGATTGTATTTTCTGTGCACGCATTTACATCAGGCACACGAGTTATATAAAACAGTTTGGAGTACAAAAATATGGTTATAACATAGGAGTACCAAACAGCACAGAATTAGAACAATTTTATTACCGTGATACCAATTTATATACAGACCCTCAAATTAAGGATTTTTTAATTCTAAGTATCCTTCCCAAATTGACAACTGTAGTGCACACTCTAAAAAACTGCAAATGAACAACACAAATCTATTTTAACCCCTACATGGTCTAGGCAGTCTGCACCAATCCTCTCTCTTGCACACAAAAATGTATTATAAATAATTTTTCACAAAATGTCATGTATGTTTTATTGCACATTGTACATGCCAATATATCTAAAAGAAAGGCTCAAACCTTTCGCTTGATAACTAACTGCTTAAATACCTAGCATTTACTTCTGGTATGAATACTATTGCATTTTTTGGGCTCTAAACTTAACTGATAATTTAAAAGAAAAAAAGCACAACAGAAAATATGCATGTATAGCTTTTGTGAATGAAACAAGCTTTTTTCTTAATTTTACTGATTTCCACCATATAAAGTCATTAAAAACATCTGACAATTAAAAAGGCTTCCAAATGTTTGCATTTTTTTACTATAAAATTATGCATATAGCTGCTTGTATAATCATATATTCCTTCTGTTTTGCAGAATTAGATGTCTGTGTTCTATACTGACTAAAAGAACAAGTTACATAGGCCTTAGTGTTAACTACAGGATGTGTCAGTCTCCATTCTGCTGGTCTCCCCAGTGGTGGCAAGCAAGGAGCCTGTCAGAACATCAGAACAGGTCGGTATAAAAGGACACTGGGCAGCAGAGGCCATCAAGCATCAAGGCCACGTATGGTTCCTGTTAAGCAGATCTCTAGACTAAGGAATATGAGTAATTTATCGTTAATATGTGGGTTTACAGTATGCTGCAGTAAGATATGACTGCTAAACAAAGAGAATGATTCCTGTATGACTGATACGTGCCAGCTGGTAAAAATGCCTCTCTGGCTAAAAATCTGCATTTTGAGGGTTAAAACTCTGGCATGAACAAAAAGATTAAAAAGTTGATTGATCAAAAGTTTTGCCAAGGGTTTCTTAAAGCTATTAGCCATCAACAGCTCCAGAAAAGGATAAAACCAGCAAAATTGCAAACAACTAAAATTGCACTATTACAAAGAAACAAGTCCATGAAAGGAAGAGTCACCAGCTGCAGTTAAGGGACAGCCACTTCAAGAAGCCGATTGTTTTTTCGCTTGCAGGTTGGGATGTTGCCGTTTTTCTGGCTGCCCTGTATGAACTTCACGCACACTTTGTCTTGTCTGAACTGGACCAGAAACCTAGGAGAGGGAATAAGATCCATTTCAGTTAAAGGTGGATAAAACCACATGAGAAGCAGAAGTCTTTTCTGGTTGGTTCTAAGCATCACTCCAAAAGATGTCATTTTCAGGTCTACATTGATAAATAAGAGTTGAGGAGTGACAAAAAAAGCCACAGGTTATGGTATGGCTTGGGTCTCCGTCATGTGGTATCTCTTAATTATTGCCTTTGGCCTGTAACTTTGGACCTTTTGCAATAGTTACTTTGCTATTCCTTTAGAAAGAAAGCAATTTAAAATGGAATTTCTAACGTACCAGAAATGCAACAAAGACTATTTCCAACTGCTTCACTGTCATCCAAAGGGACTGCTCTGTTTTCACGGAAGGAACCTAAATACTTCTATAGCAACATCAGGAGTGCTCTTCTTCTGGTTTATGCTTAATTTAGTGTATCTGGTATTTTAGCAGCTCTCATGTTTCTAATCCTCAGTTAGCCTTTACAGCCCCCTGCTCAGCAATTGGGAAAATTCACTTCCTGCCCAGCAATCTCCAAATTTAGATATTTCCTACAGTGCAGGATGAATTAATCCGGATTTGACTCTTCACTTTTTACTGGAAGAAAAATGACATTGAATGTGGAGAATTGCTTTTAAAAAAAAACAACCCAGCAGGCTCCAGTGGAGCCTCAAACTTCTCACTGATCTGGATAGCAAGATTTAAAGCAATAAACAGGGCAGCACTGCTTTTTGGCTCACATGCAGTGTTTGCTGACCTAAGACGTCCTTTGTAATGCAGCAGATTTTCCCTTTTAGCATCCTTAAAAAGTCCTCCAGCAGAGGCCAAAAACTTCAAAGAATTTGTTCTCCAGCCGGAAACCACAAATCAAGCTGACGGCAGAGCTCAGGGGAGGAAGTGGCCTCTGCTGTGCCGAGCTGCCCTTCCCAGACACTCAAAGATTAACTTGTTCGGTGCTCCCAGCAATGCAAGCATCCGGAAAACACGAGTAGGTCTTAGGTCTTATAGCCATCATCTCCTGTCACCAATGTTGCATTTTCCTAGACCCATTGTTCCAATATTATATATATATAAAAATGGTATATCTCTTACTAGACATACCACAGGATCAACAGCAGTTTTGCTTATATCAGCTCTCTTCCCAAAAAGTAGTGTACAGTAGTCAAAATAAGGCCACATTTTCTCTTCAATGCCTGGTTATGCTTGTATCTAAACTCTAGCAGGGAGAAGAGAGTACTATTTCACCCACAACAGAGATGGAACTGCTAACAACTTAAAATTATTTAGTCTGGATAAACTCAATAGTAATACACACTTGAATGTTTTTAATTTGCTAGACAAAACACAAGCACCAAAATGCAAGACTCCCAGAAAGCAGACTGTTTTCCAGACCTAAGGCAAGCAGTCCAGACCAGTGCAATGCATCCTCAAACTTTGTTTTAGTAGTTTATTACTCTGTAGCCATCATTAAACGAGAAGTTTACTGGGGACAGCCACATCTCTTAGAGGCTAAAAACACAGACCCTTGAGCAAATTCAATCACATCTGGTAACACAACAAAGGAAAATGGCAGATGTCATCTTCAAGGAAAGAGCAAAGTTAGCCCTTTAAATAAACCCCCAAATCTGAAAAGATACAAACTGCACTCGCCCTCTTGACTCCAGAATACAAGTGGTGTGGTGCAGCCAGATAAAAGGTTCAATTTTTGCCTACAGAAATCTTATTTCACTATTGTTAAAGGGTTCCAATCTTTTTCTGTTTCATAAAACGAAGAAACCCACCAAATCAACACTACTGAAATCAGGGGACATGTCACACAACAAACTGAGTGCATGACAATGGTGGATTGAGTGAGGGACTCCTACTCAGCAGCCTTAGGAGTTCACACACAAACATTTTTATGCCGTGGCTATAAACACTGCAAGTACAGTGCTTACTTAAGGCGAAAATATGAAACTGGACCAAGCAGAAAGAAAGACTAATTTGAGAGGCAAGCTTTTTTACCAAACAACCAAAAAACCCCAAACAACAACAGGTGGTTTAAAGACCATCAGTAGGAATTTTAAGAATACATTTTTCACCTTCACAACAGAGAAGGTAGAGCTTTATAGACCTACATTACTAGCACCATCATTATGTGTGTTTCAGGAGGAGCTTCCCATTCGGTTTTGGTTGTTTTCACCAGAACTTGGCACCTCGTGTCCCCTCTAATCAATAAATATCTTATAGGAATATGTGAACTTTTCAGTCACAAACAAAATGATTCTCAAATGTAGTATCTCAATTATTTCTGTGGCAGCAATTCTGCTTCACAGCCCTGTTTGAAACTACCCTAAGAAAAGCATGTTTTCTCTAATGACTTCCAAGGAAGCAAGAGCCAAAATGAATACTAGAAATGAGTACACAATGAAAACTGGATCTTTCTTTAGAAGTATTCCATCAAGAGAAAAGAAGTATTAGTTACACAACAGTGTTCTGTTTTTCTAACATTAGACACTTGACTTTTTAGCATGTTGCATTGAAGGAAATGCACTTTTAAGCAAACCGAAAACATACTCATCAGATATCTCAATGTTGAGCTTCTGTTTGGTTTGGCTGAGAGTAGTGCGGTAAAGTTTAGTGGCCATTTCAATAAGGTGATCGCTGCTGAGCAGGAAATCTCCTTTACCAGCTGCTCCTGAACCCTAAAACAGAAAGGAAAGTAGTTAGGACTACCAAAACCTAGACTATGGAAAATATTAAGTGCCAGCCAAGCAGGAGGTTTTAGAAGGAGTCTTCACTTCCCAGTGCAATGAAATATCAGTCTTTTGTCTTGTAATTTAAATAGGGACACAGTGCAGTGTACAGGAGGAAAATGCGATTCACTCTCAAATAAACTACAAACCTATTGAAAAGTTAAAACCTCTTTCTCACCCTAAAGGAAGATCACCTTCATTTGTCCTGCAAAACTGTAGTGTTTCTATATTCTTCTTCTGGCTACACTGCAGCAAGCTCACAATATTTTCAGAGAGGAACAGAAACCAATTACCAATGCTGGTATTAGGATGAAAGTGGCGAGCATGAAAAGACACTATATATGATGTTCTTCAAATCCATGTAAACTAGAATACAAATACCAGCTTAATGATTTCAGCAGAGCAATGCTGACAGTGCAGTGAAGCAAATATAGCACTGAACTAAGTATTTTAGAACTCAGTAACCAAATTAGCTGTGCTATAACATGGAATTCTTGGCATCCCATAAAGAAGGGAGAAACATTCTGGCAGTGTGTCAGGAAGAATTATATGAGCAGCTAAAAAGGAAATCACTGCCACAAGGTATCTGAACCAGATTAAAGGCCCATATTACAAATGGAAAACTCCAGTTCTGAAGAGGTTACAGTGAAATATGAAGTCTGATTTTCACAAGTAAACGATTATTCATAATGTAGTAACTGCTCTCATTCGGTTTCAGTAGTTTTAAATCAAAGTTTCTGCAGATATGGTGAAGTTCAATAAACTTCTAGACCTATAGGCTAACCACTAGGATTTAATGCTACAAGTTAATTAATAAACAATTCTAATATTGCAGCATGTAGAACAGTTATATTATTGCATTCTGAAGTTGTAACCAACCTCCTTGAGGTGAACCGCAAAGAAGCCATCATTTTGGGAGCTCATGGACACTTTGGTAACATCTCCTAGTGGAACCTCTGACTTGATATTTCCAGATTTTTGATCCGCAAGAAGAACATTATTTTTGGTTAATAAGAAAATCCTGGATGTAGCCTGTGAAAATATGAAATGTAAACCATTATCTGCCCAAAGAGAGAACTGGTCTTTACTGAGCACCTACTAAGACTGCAAACAGTTCACAGAGTTAATAAGTTTGGCCCACATTAGTAAACATGAACTTTTGATGTTCAGTAAAAGCTACAGGTCAGTTAAAATCAGGTCAAATTTATTTATGTGTCTAATTATAGATTGAGAAGTTTAGCTCATTTTGGCACATACGCTTAGATATAAACAGTTCCTTTAATTACTAGCTTACAGTTATAAAATTCAGAAACTGAAACTCAGAAACTATGCAAATCAGCATAACCTCATTTCTCATGCTCTGCCAATGCCCAGGAAAACAAAACGCACCTTTTCAGTGACAGCTAAATCAGGACTAAGCCTCACTATTTACTGTTATTGACCAGAACTGCTGCAGTACAACACAAATCACATAGCTATTTTCAGTGTCATGCTCTCCTCCCTTTATCTATTGTAATTATTCTTTAGGAGGATACACATTCATATTTTTAAATGACAAATATTTTTAAAGCATGAATGTGTGTTCTTAAATTCATCTTAGAAAATAATAAGCAAAAGAAATGAGAACTTAATCTACACATAGCTTTTTCTCCTGTAAAATTCTAAATAATAAAATCTTAATTATTATAATTAAGAAGTAGTTGTCTTAAACACACAGAGCCATAGCTGCTTATTAATATTAATATTAATATTGATATTGATATTAATCTTGAGGGCTGTAGCCTATGAAAGTAGAGGAAAGATATTGTCTTCATTTAATTAGTTCCTTCTAAAGCGGAAAATTAACTTGGTATCAACAACAGGTAAGCTAATTTCACTACTACAAATGCATAAATGACATCCAAACCTGAGAAGTTGATATCTACTACTTCTAATATTTAGACAGATACGTTAAAAACAATTACATTTATTAAGTGAGGATAATACTTCCTTTTTTAATAAGTATAATTTAAATGCAAAGTAAGTTCTGTTTTGGCAGAATAAAGTATTCAGCATATTTAACAGCTTTATTCAAATCATACAAGAAACTTGCCTCTTCATTCCAAAAAGCTTCTGATATCAATCAGAAGACAGGCAAAGCTAGCAGAGTATGCCACTCACAATTTTAAAACATAATAAAATGTGATAATCAGGAGCTTGAATGACAGTGTGAACCTTGAAAGGTTAAGTTTTATAAATACTTGAACAGGAACAATATTCTCTAAATATTTATTATCTTCAACTGGCAAATAGAAGATCTAAGTTTGGTACAGAGATGACATTTAGTTGTGAATCAATACAGCCTGTTACCAGTTGATGAGATGCCATTTTTGTTTGGAAAAGTCACTGAAAACTATGAATCCAAACAAGATTTAGTACTCTATGTACATTTAAAATGGATGCTTAAAATAATCAGTTTATATAAATCAAACATTTCCAGTTTTGCCCTTAAAAAAGGCATTTTTTTAAATCCTCAGACTATTACATCACAGAAACAGTCTCCCTCTTAGTCTATTCATATATTAAAAATTAGCTAGTCTTCTGGATAAAGCAATGCCATTTTATTACCTTCCCGTTAGCTCTATTGATCTTATTCACAACTTCTGCAATAATGATCTTTTCATCCACAGCATCTTTAAGTTTTTTGTACTTGGGGTTCTTGCTGATTTCCAAGTAAGCCCCTTGGAATGGCTGCCCAACACTGTCAAGCAAAAAAGACAAGAAAAACACAAGTTAAGTATTAATTGCATGGAAGAAGTAAACCTCCTAAAACCATCTCCCTCCAAAGCCCTCCAAAGAGATTTGGACAGGCTGA